TTTTCTCTATATTTTCTTTTTTTTTTTTAGCATTGCTTTTCACTCCATTTAATTACTTTGTCTTTTGGCATGTCTCGACTCTGACTGCGATTTGATCTTCTTTACTTTTTAATCACCTTTCAATTTGCTTTGTTTTCCAAAATGTCATATTTCAGGTTAAAACAACTTATGAAACAGAATATTTTACTTGGGTCTAAAAGCTTTAAAACTGAATATTAAGGAATTCTGATATTTTTCTCTGAGTGCCTGTCCATGCTCACTTTGCAATTTTTTAAAACACATTTTATTCCTTGGGGAGGTGCTTGCCCTGAGATAAAGGAGTATGATATGATATGATATGATATCATATCATATGATATCATATCATATCATATCATATCATATCAATCATATCATATCATATCAATCATACTGCTATAATAATAGCAGAAAGCCCATTTTTCACGTTCAGCACTGGTCCAGATGTTAGGTATTTTTAAATGAGCAGCCAGCCTTGCTGGTGTGGGAAACACACACTGGTAATTCAAACATTGTAGTCAAACCATCAGCAAACTGTTTTCATGTACAGCTGGAATTTGGAATTCCTGTTCTCCTTGTATTTTTCCAACACCAATTGTAAGTGGATTGGTGATTCCTGGTAACACCTATCATGCCTGGATGCTTCTGCTTGGGAGTATTCTGACAAGGCAAAGAGCTGCTAGCTGATTCTGACATTTTCTTTCACGCCCTTTCTTCTCTTTGCTATTTGTTCAAAGGCTGAGTTCTCTAAGTTCTGCATTGGCTCAGCTGCCTACAGCTAAGTGTGCTCTGGGTGTTTGACAAGGACCTCCACCCAGGCACACTGACTGACAAAGAGCAGTGCACTTTCATCCTCAATTTGGGGTGAAAATAGCCAAGTCTTGCAAGCTTGTCTTGGGACACAAGGGAAGACGCTGCCTGCTGGGCAAGTTTGGGCTCCCTTCCCACCCAGGGTGGATGGAGTGATGATAAATAACTCAACCACTCAAGATGCTCTACAGCAGAAGATTGTTTCAAAAACTCCATCTCCTCTGTCCCCAGATGTATGACTCCTTTTCCCCATGATATTCTGCTCCACAAACAGATTACCTTAAAAGAGCTTATTTAGAGCTAACACATTTGACTTTGCTCTAGAACAGTTGGAAATAAAACCACTCAGACTCGAACACTTCCAAGATGGAATGCTGAAACTAAGAGTTATGAGGCAATTTAGAGAACAGTTCCTTTTGCTGCTTATTTTTAACTGATGCTTCTCAGCTAAGGCTGTCTGTGCCATAATTTGGACACGAGAACACAGGACCAGAAGATTCAATAAATGTGAATGCTGGGGCCAGGCTGGACAAAATGGGAAATGACAAGTGCAAGAATTACCTGAGTCCCTTTTCCACTAACAAGGAATCAGCGAAATATTGCCATACTCTATGTGCATTCTCTGTGCACTCATTTCTCATGAAAGGGGCACAAAAGGTACCTTCATCAACACCTATGAGAGTATTTCTTTACGGAGGAGGAATTTTCCACATAAAAGTCACTTTTAGCAATGCTCTAAAGTTGCTGAACAGCTGCAAGCCAGAGAATACAGACTGATGCCCATGCCTGTTGTATTACATTGACAAAATAATTTATTAAAGATATCCCTTTTTTTAGCTAAACTATTTAAAGTTGATAATGTTCAGGAAATTGTCCTAACAAAAAGTATTGCTTTGGAAAGGTAAGAACAGGAGAGCAGGTACAAAATGAGTTTTGAAGTCTAGAGAAATTACATTTGTTCTTTGAGTTCTTGTGACTATCAATAACATTTTTGATTATTTTGTAGAATTTTGTTATTACTACTTTTTATTTTAAATAGAAAAAAGTTCCTGGAAAGGAGAAAAAGCATTGTCCTTTCACTACAGACATAGTTACCGTGTTGGCATGTTCAGTGTTTTCTCATTTCTCTTTACTAGCCATGCTCTCCAAAAAGCTGCAAAACCAGTTATGTCCACAATGCTTGTTTTCATTAGTAATTGAGAGCTGGAGTTTACAAACTCTGGAAAAAAAGATGTCAAAGAAACCAGCTGAAATAAAAACTAAGAGTTTCTGTAGAAATGTTTAATTTAGAAATTCTAAACTCTAAACTTTGGGATAGACAACCACTGATACATAATTTTAAGAAAAAGAAATATATAGGCAAAAATGGGTTTGTTTAATAAGGTCTGAACTCAAAAAATGAAAAAAAAAACCCAACCCAAAAACCCCCACCTCTATCATCCAGTGGGTGGTGTTAGGTACTGAATTAAATTATTTCGTGTAAACAACAGCAAGATGTTAGAGGTCAGAATGGTGTTATGCTCTGATTAAACTAACAATTAAGCATGGAAAAGCAGGCACCTTTGGGGAGGACTGTAAATGGCCGTGATAACATCTCTCAGAGTCTTCTGCTTTGGTTTAGGCTGAGGCTGGTTGTCCTCAACAGACTGAGTTCAGCAAGGGAGAAGCCATTGTGTGGCCAGGCCTGTGCTGACACTTACCTGCAGCTTAAATATACAGTGACCCTTAGGGTCAACAGATACCCTTTGAACTCCCAGCTGCAGATTAGACAGCAAAATAATAACGCTGTGAATATGGAAGAAATGAGATGAGCTTGGTAGAAACTGCAAGGAACTGAGAAAACATCCTTGTTCTTATGTTAATATCAAAGACGACTCTGTGGCTTCATCTTCTTGATTTTTTCATAGACTTGGTTTATTTGTGATGCTTTTAAACTCAATCTATTATATAAATGTTCTCCAAGGATTGCTTCCATAAGAAAGAAACCAAATTCAGTTGTTAAGGCAGCTATCTAATTTTCCAGTCAGTGAAAACTGTGATTAAAAATGACATCATATCAAAAGCTGCTGTTACATTTGTTACATCTGCAGGCCGGACACAGACATATATCTAATATTTTTAAGAAAATAGGCTGCTTGATGGCAAAAATGGTAGAATTTTGAACAGTTATGTGAAGTTCATGTTCAAAAGAAATGCTAATTACACTGCAAGGTAATTGGGTGATGAGACCTGTATAAGAATAGAGACATTGAGAGGAGAGATTTGAGTGACTAAGTACCACAAGCTGTGTAGTTGAACATGCCAGCTCCTAAATGAAATGGCATCTGTGACTTATGAAAAACCAATGCTGTAAATTAAGTAATGGAAAATAACCAAAAAATGTATCTAGTAAATGACTTTATTATTATTTCAGTAATAATAACTGAGGTACTCCTGTTTCAGCACATAAAGGCATAGACCTTTCCAAATGAAATATATTAGTGCATTAATTCTTCCAACTCTAATTCAATTGAATGCTGAATATACCTGCTTCTAGAGTGAAGCCTGGTGAATTAGGCAATGCTGCTCTTTCAATAGGTACTCAATTGGCTTAGAGAAAAAACACTGCTCTAATTTAAGGACTTCTTTCTTTCGTGATTGATGCTCACCCCACAATCTGAAAAGAACAGCAATTTTGTGGCTAGAAGAGGAGAAGAATATTTTTTATATAGTGATGATTATTTGGTGCTTTAAAAAATGCCTGTCTTCAGAGCCCTCTTTATGGATCAGGCTTGGGAGTACTTGAATCAATTAAAAGTAGAATGCTAGGTGTAAGCCCTACAAACCTGAGACAGGGATCTGCCTTGTTAATGAGCTCCATCAGAGATGGGCTCCTAGACTGTGTTCACAGAAACTGTCTGATAGGCATAAAAACTGAGGAAATTGATGGAAAACACCAGAAGCAGAAGCATGCCTGAAACTCTGGTTCCCCACGTGGTCTTGTGATCATGATTGTTGATGGTAAAGCCTAAGATTAGGATTTATACCATTAAGCTCATCTCTTCTGCTTTGGCTTCTGAAGGTCAATAGCACTACTTACTCAGGAAGTGAGAGGCAAGTGGGTCAACCCTTCTGAGGGGAGGGATTTCTGTCAGGGGTTCAAAGGTTTTGCAGACAGAATAGGGTTGCTCAGGTCTGGTCAGAAATAGAATCTAGGTGTGTGGTCCAAATCAACTCCTTCTGTCAGGCCAGAATAAAAAAGATGAGCAAAAAACCTGAAATTTCATCATGTCATAGGTGCAGTAAGAAATATTGAGGTAAAAATTTCTGCAGAACTACTTGTATTTCTGCATAACTGTATTTTGTTTCCTCCTTACCTTTCTTCAGTTGTCATGAATAAAAACGCCTGACCAGTCTGACTCGTGCTCAATTCCTAATTTCAGGTTTGTAACATAAAAAGAAATGTCACAAAAGCATCTTTCTTAAATTGGATGTTTTTATTAATAAGTACTCTTAAAGGGTTTTGTTGGCTTTGTGCTGATGGAAATGAAACCACATAGAAGTGTAATTTGTCCCTGAATACAGAGAAGAAAGAAGGAAAAAGACAAAAACTTAGCAAGAGCAAAGGCCACATGAGGGGGACAGAAGCTGCGGAGGAAGCACAAACATAGTCTGACGCACTCTAATGCCATTTTCTCTCCAGAGGTCTGTTAAAAATTTTTAGGCTGAAGAGAATTGTCCTTACTGAATCTATCTACACTGCTATTTTTAATTGGAGTGAAACTTGTACAGATGATGCTAAAGATGCTTAATTTTACTGATACTGAACCTGTTTCATTAATATGCACATTGACTGAATAACTAACTACGAGCCTTCTAAAATGTGCTTCTAATCACATCAGCATTAAATATTAACTAGAAAGCTGACTCTATCATTCAGTCACATCCTCATTTTCCCAGCTTATCATTACATGTGTGTTGATAGAATAGTTACTTTTGCCAGTAATTTCATTTATCATAAATAAACACATTTCTTATGGTTGTTACCTACTTAGCAGAATGGAGCAGTACTTACACCATGCAGGTGTCATGAAAGCAATGTTCAATGGAGGATGGGTTTGGGGTGCAACTTCTCGTAAACATTTTGCCCAAGGGATTTTGTGCTATCTTTTCTCTCTCTTTTTTCTCTTCAGGGAATATTTGTCCTAGGATTGCCGTATGCCCTCCTCCACAGTGGATACAGTGGTCTACTTCTTATTGTCTTGGCTGCAGCATTCTGCTGTTACACAGGCAAAATTCTAATTGCTTGCTTGTATGAAGAAAATGAAAATGGACAACTGATAAGAGTGAGAGACACGTACGAAGATATTGCAAATGCCTGCTGCAAAAAGCTGTCTCCCAATCTAGGTGGCATGGTTGTCAATGTGACCCAAGTGGTGGAACTGATCATGACGTGTATTTTGTATCTGGTTGTTAGTGGGAACTTGCTATCACACAGTTTTCCGTATGTACCCGTGACTGAGAAAACTTGGTCTGTATTTGCATTTGTTACTCTGTTGCCTTGTATATTTATCAGAACTCTCAAAATTGTTTCCAAACTCAGCCAGCTTTGCTCTTTGGTTCATTTTGTTATCATCTTTGTAGTGATAACTTATTGTCTCACACAGATGCATCAATGGTCCTGGGCAAAATTCAGACTCTCCCTTGAGTTTGAGAACTTCTTGGTCTCTGTAGGGGTGATCATTTTCAGTTACACTTCACAAATATTTCTACCCACACTTGAAGGCAATATGAAAAACCCGAGGGAATTTAGGTGTATGCTAAATTGGACTCACTTTTTTGCCTGTATATTGAAAACAACCTTTGCACTTACTGCTTTCTTGAGCTGGGGTGAAAAGACAAAGGAAGTTATTACTGACAACCTGCCATCATTTCTTGAAACCCCAGTGAATTTATGTCTCTTAACCAAGGCTCTTCTTTCTTACCCTTTGCCCTTTTTTGCAGCCACAGAAATTGTGTATTCTTGTATTTCTAAAGACAACCATTCCAATTATAGGTCTCCACTACTTGCTCTGACTGTAAGAGGTTCATTTCTCTTGTTAACTCTGTTGATGGCCATGTTCACACCACATTTTGCCCTGTTGATGGGTTTGTCAGGCAGTGTAACAGGTGCTGCTATGACTTTTCTTCTTCCTTCTCTCTTCCATTTAAAACTTAAATGGAAAAAACTGTCCTTCTTAGAGAAATGTGCAGATATTTCTGTTTTTATTTTGGGCTTCCTTTGTAGCCTTGCAGGCATAGTTTGCTCAATAAAAGGGCTCCTTGAAGTATTTGGAGGAGTGTAAAAGATTTCCTGAAAGACAAATAAAGAGCAAATCTTATAAATCCTTTTACCCTGTTAGTATATATGAGATTTTATCACTAGGTAGAATTTAGCATATGCTTAAATGTTTGCAGATTCAGGTCTTTAACTGGAAAATTATGTATCTTTAAGCAAACTGGAAAATAACATTCATAGCAAAAGAGTACAAAATTAGTCCTCTTTAGAACTTGAAAAGAAAGGTGTTGGAGATGGTTTAAGATGAAAATAATTGTAAATAATCCTACATGGTTTTAGTCATGCATGACATGCACATCCTGAAATTACTACTGTAAGTGATTTCACTAATTTAACCAGAATTCTTCATAGGACTAGATACTGTTCAGTCTCAAAGCCATCAAAACTACCTTACAGGATGTGAGATTACAGAATAACAGAATTCTATTATTAGATCTATTATTGAAAATGGATGAAATATTATTTCACCTCATTGACAGACTGTAATTCAACATGTGAACAGAACAAATCAGCGGATTTTGGTTTTTATGTAAGACAAATTCTACTACTTGTTTTTTAAATGAATAGGCAAAAAGAGATCTCAGTTTAGAACAGCTTTGAAATCGTGCTTTTATCATGACTTCAAATGGGAATACAGTCAGAGTAAAAGGGGCATTCTAACAGTTCAAAGTCATGAAAAAGAGAATTTTTTCTGAAATAAGCTATAGCCAGTGACTGCAGCTTTTCTGCAAGTCTAACTCCTAAGATTCATGTCTCTGCAATGCAGCTACTCTATTGGTTGGGTTACTAGAAGTCTTTCTGGTAGCATGAAAATGTTAACATGCAGTTCACTTTCCCTCTTAGGCAAGAAATTTCTTTGATCTGTGTATTTTATCTGATTCTATTAAAAGCTCAGTGGAGTAAATCAAGTTCAATAAACAGACACATTTCCTGTACAATTTGGTAGATCTTTAGCTTTAACAGATATTGGCTTAATAAAAAGATCAGCATTGCAATGTATTTCACATTAGTGATAAAACATTATGACAAGAAGCAGTCTAATCAGAGTGCTCTAATGAATACATATTATCTTATCATACTAAATCTCTGTTATAATACATAATTAAAGTAATTATTTCAAAAAAGGAAATGTGCATTTTTGTTATGAACAATTTCCCACAACCTTGTACTGCGTCATATGGAAAAGTCTTTGAATGTCAGCGTAAGACTGGGTGACAAAGAGCCCAGCAGTGTCTGCTTAGCTGAGTTATTTTTGCTATGTAGCTTCTCAGCATTAATGCTTCTATCCTGCATGAGCAACAGTTGCCTCTCAAGGCTGATTTGCTGAATGATAAAAAACAGGCAACTAAACTAAAGAGGGGAGTTCTGGAAAGCCTTGTATGCCACCCTGTTCCTTCCTTGTCTGCTAGTGTATGTCTGTCATGTATAATAGTGATGAAAAGTTTATTAAAACAGGTTAATTGCACTACAACATTATCAAGAAAACTGAAAATAACTAGTATCTCTGAATTTTATTACTTCTTCCTGCAGTGGGTCAAATTCTGCACTCAAATCCACAACAATTTGAATGATATTAAAACTTGTGCTGGAACAAATAGGAGACTTTTTAATCTTATATAAAATGCCAAAAATGCATTGCTCATTGAAAGAGTTGAAAGTTTATTATTACTGCTATGACATAGTCAGAAAGATATTATTACTTGGATGATATTAATCAAAGGATTTCATTACTTTTTGTGTGGAGAAGTTTCAAAGATAAACAAATACATAGGAACAGTATTTGTTCTGTTTATCCTGTATAAATCCCTAAGGACAGAGGGAGGTTGTCCAAAGAGTTTTGTAAAAATTCTTTCAGTTACTTTGCTTAGAAATTCTCCAAAAAACAAAACCCAACTCTTCTATCTCTTAGTTTTATTTAATGTGTTTTGTCTCTAACTCTTTAGAAAATCTTGAGATTGCCTCAGTGCATTTGCTGTTGGGGAAAGCTTGAAAACCAAGATAGGCAATTTATTTTATGGCAGTTTTTGGAACTCCCTACCTCATCACTTTAGTTGTATTTTCTTCTCTTAGCCTTTTCAAGAAGTCAGTGTCCAGTCCTTTCAAGCCAAAGACTGTCATTCCCCACTTAATCATGCTCTGTCTTATGTAAGATCTTTCCTACAAGGATAAATGTTTCCTGCTTTATAAAATATGTCCTACTATTTTCCTTATTTAATCATTTATGTAATTTCTGTTAACATCATAGAAACAGCAAGGGTTATGATTAACAAGCCAATACAACTGTAAAGGCACAAAAATGAAAGTCATCTAAGTGTAAGGCCTCAAGAAGTCACTTACAAAAGGCACTAGATTACGAGGGAAAGCACAGTTCAAGACTTTCTGTGGCAAACACTCAGCAATTTTGAAGTGTGCCATTGTTGTGGGACACAGAAGATGCATGAGCTTTGCTTTAAAGCCATGCCCAGACATCTTGATGAGAAACTGTCTTCTGGGCTCAAGATTAAGTGAACCTCCAACCTGGAAAGGCAGAGATGCATATACACACCCCACAGACCAAGCCTGAATATGCTGCTTAGCACTTGATAAAGACAAATATCCATGATGTAAGGCTAACTCACTGGATTTAATTTCCTAAAACACACAGTTGCATATTTTTAGATACAAACTTATTTCTGAACATTTTCCAATGGCAAAATACTATTAATAGGATACATAAAACATTTGCAACTTTCTATATTAGACATTAAAATAAAATCTATAGAATATGTTTAGAGAATCTGGAAAGGTGGTGTTATCATAAATTATGAACCAAGAGGATCTGCATTCATCTAAGTAATGACTACTTGGAATTTTTTGTCACTAAATTTATACTACCAATCATTAGAATCACTGAAGCTAGGAAAGTAAAAGACTGACTAAATATTAATGTATTATTTTGACCACTCCAGGATTATTCATTACAATATGATAGTGCTTTCTCAAAATTAATTCTGAAAGCAAAAACTGGCAGTAGTGAACATGAAGAAAATGCTATAGAAAAAATTAAGTGCTGAAATAAAGCATTTTCAAACACTCTTGCTTCATTTCTTCTGCCAGTAGAAGTATGAGTAAAGGAACCTGCTTCCTTTCAGCAACAATAACACAGGCGTTTCCCAAAATGCTTCTCCAATTTTGTAGGGAACACCAAACACTGTATTCCTACTTGACAGTAGTAATGCAGATTTAAGTCAATCAGATTACCATAAAATTAAAATATGGGCTCAGCTAAGTCATCTTAGGAACTTCAAGTGTTTCTTGATGAAGGCTTTTCAAAGCTTAAATCTGAAATTAGACTGAAAACCTCACTTTATTAACTCAGTAGGAGAAAAATAATTTACTTAAGTGGAACAATGTTCTAACCCCTGTAGTCCATTAACGATACTTAATATACTTTTACACCAGTTTGGTCATCACTTCACTTCACTACTGTAGTTTCTTTTCCACATTATTCCATCTCTTCTCTTTTTCCAGCAGTGAGATAAATATTTTCCTGCCGATGCTACTAAAATGTTACAGAGATGTCAGAAGAGCTACTGAAAAAATTCTTGAGGCTAACACTTTTTCATTAACTCTTCATCCTTGATTGCTCACTTTATGTTTTGGTTTCTTTTGTGAATTCTGAACTTCATGTACAAAATTCATGTCACAGTAACTGGTTACCCTGAAAAAGTGATTGTATAAAAATGGAACAAATAAGATATCGTGCAAATGTTTTATTAAGTCAAGTTACAATTTTCACTTTTTTTGGAACTACCATATTTTAAAAACTGATAGCTGATTTCTAGATATCATGAATTCAATTCTTCTGGATTATTAGTAATTATCTGGATGGTATATTGGTCTTAGAAAATATTCATCTTCTAAAATGAAGTAGAAAAGGAAATATATCTCAAAAATATTTTTATAGTATTCTGAGATTGAGTTGTCCCAAGGGTTCATATGGGATATAAACTATTGGAAAATTTATTGTGCTGTTTAGTTGCTGACAATGAATGTAAAAATACACAGTCTAAAATTCACCTAAATATTTTTGTTCTTAGCCTAAGCATTTGTCAAGCTGTCGACCCACTGAAGTCAGCTGTTCTTCATTCTTCCTCAGCGTCATTACCTTTACGTGGTCACCCCTCAGGTGTCTAATATATTTGTCTTCACATTGCCTCTTAGAGGGGTGGCAGCTCCAAGATCTTAATTTTACAGTTTTTAAATGAATTCTCAGAGCAGAGATGAACCCAAGAGGGAATCCAAGGAATCTCTAGGTTAATACTTGTTATTATACCATGCCTTCATGGTGATCCTGACAGTCAACATTTCTTTTTTTTTGTTTTTTTTTTTTTTTCTCTTATTCATCCCTTATTTTATGTCCTTTGTCAGTTCATGCCAGGATAACATGAAGGTATATAGCACAGCAAGCAGCCCATTATGCAGCATAAATATTTAACTGAAAGCTGCCTTTCTCATTTTTATTTCTTTAAAGACAGAAATATAAATAGTTAAATAATTATATATAGAGGGATGCAGCACATGGAAGAGAAATTAAAGGCAGAGTAAATGCAACACAAAAAGCAAAAGACAAGATGGCAGGAAAATGTGGTGAGGGACTGGAAGAGGAAAACTGAAAACTCACAAAAGTTTGAGAAGAAGTAAAAAGGAAAAGAAACATCACGGAAATTTAAAAACTGAGTATGAGAGAAGAGGAAGGCAAAGTGGGAGAATTCATTTAACCTATGATTTAATATTGTCTATAAACATTTCCTACGGTTTTGCACAAGCAGTAATTCAAACTATTCCAGTTAATATAAGTCAATATATTCTGTATGTGAAGAGTTTTCCTTTCTTTCACTTCCCCAAATCTCTTATGAATTCAAAACATTTAAAATAAAATAATTCTCATCTGTGTGGAATTACCTCTATGTTTAATGTTTTCTGTTACCCAAAGGAATTTGAAAACATATTAAATAAATAGTATTA